AACTACAAAAATAGCAGCTACAAGATGTTTGGCCACCCCATTGTCAGTATATTATATAAATTGAAACTGAGTGTGACCATATTTCTTGTAGCTGCTATCTTTTGCATGACAAGCCCCCGTGTTCTGGACTGACGCAGTCCTCATTGACGAGGTATCACTGTGTATTGGTATTGAAGGGACGGCGATTTTACCGCTCCGTCTATGGCGGACATTATTCTATGTTAAAATATTGTCACGACCGTCTTAGCGTTAAGATCTCTTTGTGGGACGGGTACCTTGGCGCCGTAGTACCAAGTTATGATTGTGTTCATATAACCTAATACAGAGATCAGTTAGTCTAGTGGATGAAGTGTTTGCACGTAGAAGATCTGGGTTCTGTTCCCGTCGTGGGTAGAGTATGTGAAGCATATTTTACATTGCGGAAAGCGAGTTCAACGTACTCTTTAAAGCATAGCTTAACATGATATAAGTAAATATCGTGCCACATACCGCAACCACCATGTGTGATCTCGGGCAGTAGAGATAATAACACATTATTGATTGAGACAATCTCTCTTGTGACACGGTCACGGATATTTTTTGGATGTTTTATATCTCACTGTTGACAAAGCTTAGTGAGACAATTCTTGGAGGATATAGATGATTATGTCATCACAACACAGCCTCCTAGCTATATTAAGTTAATACTGACCTCCCAGCGGGAGAGGTGACGATCAATAGTGAATGCATTGCTTGAATGGAAACAAAATATGGTATACAACTAAGGCAGGGCGGGACAACTTAGGAATGGCCAGGAGTCCGAACTTGACCACACAGAAGGAAGCGAGCTACAAAAACATGTTTTATATCATTGGAAAGCTCTCGAAGAGTCGAATCCAAATAATGTGTGTCCCAGTGTGTTCACATGTTCATAAGCTCAAAAATTGGCTCAGAAAATGCATTACTGCAGAAATTTCTGGCCGAATTTTTTTTTTCTGCAGAAATTTCTGGCAGTATTTTTTTTTTCTACAGAAATTTCTGGACGAATTTTTTTTTTTCTACAGAAATTTCTGGCCGAATTTTTTTCTGCAGTAATATTTAGCAGAATTATTTTAATTCAGGAGAAATAAGATTCAATCATTGGATAGTTTGAAATGAATTCAGCAATTGAAGATATTTATCTTGGTATTATATTTACCAAATTTATCAAGAAAAGTTGACGTCACTCGAATTAAACAATGGAACAACATGTTGGCCTCATACCTGTGTATACTAGACAGATGCAAATCATTGAACCTTGAGCTTACCCTATAATTATCTAAATTATTATGAGAATTTCAGTGACCATCTTCAATGGCCTTTTGACGACTTTGAAGTGTACAACATTAAAGGTGAATGTGATTCTCAAAAAATAAATTTCATAATTATTCCATCGGGCCAACCAAATGTATAATCCCCAGTTGGAATTCAAAGAAACAACCTACATGTGATATACGGTACTCTGAAAGTAGGTTAACTTCAGACATGGAAAAAATAGAACACAACCAAGATTTTACAATATAACTGCATATATTGTTTCATAAATTTCATTGTGCACATCTCATCTTATATATGTATATATATATACAATTCTAAATACACAGCTTTACTAAGAAACAAAAACATACAAAGTACAAAACTCCTGCAATGCAATCCTCGGCAATATCTCAGCCACATAGCTTAGACAAAAAATATGTTCATTTCAGAAAAACTTGCTGCTCCTTCTTTATTGTTCTGATACTGACGCTTGTCTTCGGTGCTTTGTCAGAGTGATCTGAAAGTAAAGAAAAAAATGTAAAGAATATGAGAACATAATTAAAATCACAGTGCATCTATACAATAAAAGCAAAAATAGTAACCTCATGAAGTTGGGTTGTTTCTCTGCCCACATTACACATATTCTAAGTAACGCTGACTAACCCTAATATTACACATCACAATACATATTTCAAAAGAAATGCAATATTTATTGAAATTACCTTTGATTGTTTTTGCAGTTTTTCATTGTTCTTCTCTATTGCCTCTTGAACTTTAGTTGGGAGGGTTGTCGCTTCCCTTGGGGCAGTCATGAAGGGCTTGAAGTCTGATAGCTTGGTGGTGGGTGTCCGGATGTCCCCAATCTTGAAGGAGGGCATCGCGGGTTGTTGCAGGCTTCTGTCTAAGTTCCCTTGCACTAAACACTTAACAGTTGATCCAAATCTTCATGCGTGTGCCCCACCATGAGAAAGAAAGTTTCACCTGAAAATAGTATTTACATCAGTATTATCACTATGAAAACAAATCAAATTGTACAAAACTTGTTTATTTTTACAGAATATTGATTTGAATATTGAGAGAAAAATCAATCTTGTGCATTTAAAAAGTTTCAACATTGTGTGCAGATTCTTTTATACTTAGGATGAGCAACTGGACATGAAATACTTGCTTCAAAACAATTCTAATGTGGTTTAAAACAATTTACATAAATTATAAAAATATTAACCACATGTGACTTCAGCATTTACTTTGAATTGTATAGTATAGCCTCAAGGAATAAATATGCTATACATGATATTGTATGTGGAGTCATATACCAATAATTTCATTGATAACTATCTTCATGATAGCACTAAAAGTGATACCTTGGATTGCAGCGTCCACTTTTGACTGGCCGACAAAGTCTTGCAGCTTTACTGGTCCTGGAAATGTCAAATAAATATTTGAACAATACATAAATTGCAACTTTAATGTAATTGGATAGTCATACAAATACAACAATTGCCAATTTCCATTCTCAAAAATCCACAATTCCTCCAAAATTAGACAAGCCTACCAGACAAACATTGAATTTATTCAACAGGCCCGTACCAAGCATTTAGCTAAGACAAAGATAAATTTCTATCCTTCTAAACGTGTGTTACAAATATAATGTACAAACAAATGTCTTGACATACATGGCACGATCCCATTACAAAACAAATCCCATTACATCCTTTACTAATAATATTGGACAAACTACAATAACGTAACCCATATATGTGCACTGTGGATACTAAGCTCCACTGGTTTCTATATAAGAATCTACATAACTCCCTACCAATAGGATATGTAGACAGTAATATATGTTTTGGTTTGGTTTGTTGTTTACTGCCGCATTCAGCAATATTCCACCTATATGACAGCGGTCTGTAATTAATCGAATCTGGACCAGACATTTCAGAGATTCATATCATGAGCATCAATGCAGGTCAGCGAGCCTGACCACGCAATAGTGTTAGTCGCCTCTTAAGACAAGCATAGAATTCACTGGAAACTGGAAAGGAAATATCACAAAAAGACATGTTGTGCTTGGATACCAATTACACAATAATGACCCATTAAATCGGGATTAGTGCACTTTACCGGGCGCACTTTTTCAGATCCAATTAGCGCTGTTGGGGCTCGAACGCGCTTCGCCGACTCACCGGCTCTGCTAATTAATGCGTTAATTAGCCGACGCTCTACCACTGGACCACAGGCGCTATCACATGTAATCAGTGCTCGTTTAACAGGTCATTAGAATCACCATTGACATGCATGTGTAATTGAGTAAACAATGAATTGCGCATGCGTGTGACGTCACGGCCCGCTCTCCCATTCATCTTTTCTTGAAACCACACCCGCAATTGTTTATGTCAACAACCAATGGGATTAACTGAATTAACGCTTGAAAAAGTAAGAATTTATGGCTAACCCTTGCCCAAAGCCAGCTAACCCTAATGACCGAAAAACGGGTGTTGGATCGTAAAGACGTGTAAGTTTCCCTAAGACCTAGAACGGGTGTTTGATCGTAAAGATGTGTAAGTTTCCCTAAGACCGAGAACGGGTGTTTGATTGTAAAGATGTGTAAGTTTCCCTAAGACCGAAAACGGGTGTTGGATCGTGAAGCGAGAGTCACCAGAGCGTGAGGCACGGTAACGGTATAACGAGACAGCGTGGCACTATAGCGCGGCAATTGAGCGGATGGTAGAGCTCGGGCTGCGCCCGGTAAACTGCATTGTTGCCCAGAAATTCGAGAAGAAAATTCGCGAAATTCGATATCGACATGTCCTCTCAAAACGAAGAAAGGGTTCTATCACTAGGTCCACGCGAGAGTATGTCTCGTAAACTTGCCTAGCCCTACGCCTACTGTTAGCACCACCGAGTAGACCGAGCCACCCACCAACTCGCACCCTAATTAAGTCATGGCCCTGTGGGCAACGAGGGCAACACTTACCTGGTATACTACGTACGTAACACCAATATAATGCCACGCGAAGCCATATATATATAAAGGCTACACAATCCGCGTATGTTCGCAGAGCCCTGGCTCTTCCGCTCTTCCTTTCCTAGCTCATGTTGACATTTTGATAAAAAAAACAAAACAAACATGCACCGTGCTTTGATTCCGAAACGAAATTTAAATTGGCAACACAGTCGGTGGTGGTAAAAAACCCCAGCGCAACGAAGCCGATTGAGTACCTCACCCCTACATTCGCCGTACCAGTTTATTTTCGCGTTCGTAGCTCAACTCTACCTAATAGTGCCGATGCAATAAATGAACTATAGTTAACGACATTGCACATAAGCATTACTTACCAATTTCAGTGTTTTTCCTTTTGGGCAGATTTCTTGAAGAAAGATGTCTGCCTTGACTGTTGATGACGTTGGTAAGATCTGTAATAGGGTAGCAACATGTTCAGTGAATATGTTCATAAAGAAACCATGATCCAAACAGAAGGCAAAGGTTCTTCAAGATATATACAGTGTTTGGTGTACAAAAATAGAATAAAATGCCTTACCCATGTCAACGTTGTTGAAGCAGAGCTGGTGAACCCTCCTCAAGGTATCCAGAGCTTCTTACTGCGACCAGAACTTGGGTTTTCGATGTGATTTACCGACTTGTTGAATAGTTATCGTTTGATCGTCTGACAGAACGTTCTCGACGATTTAACGATATTTAACGATACCTGATTAGCGTTAAATCTATATATACCATTTTTATGGTCGGGCGTCCACGGCTGATTGGTATATCAAATCAAACACAAGGGTGTATATCATGCCCCTGAGTGTTCACGCCTCACTGGGTGGTCACGTAATAAGGTGTGGCACCAGCATCTCGGGTTACAATTTGATATTAATTCAAGTACTCCACTGATAATGTACATAGGTAGTTAACTTAATTACATTCAGTTTTGTCCGACAAGGAGCGAGTTTACTTTTTTTTAGACACAGACTTTGTAACAGGCTCTTCCCCTGGAAACACATATATTGTAAATAAATATTTTGCCGTTTCCATCAACTTTATCACGTGATGTTCTATAACTGTTGTCTTGTACACTATCCATAGTGTAAGTCAGCTGGCTCGAGGAATTTTCATATAGTATTATCATTAAACAACATACCCTATGCAACAGTTATGTTGCTACCCAGACAAAACTATTTTTATATTCTATGTTAAATGTAAACGATCAGTTTTTATTATAAATACAAAACCACCTTTTAAGCGGTAATACCTATCACGCATTAAACAACATATATGAACAACCATGTGATTATAAAGTCTCACGTTGGTTCCTCCGTGCAACTTCATGCCTGACTTACATTCATATTGTTCTTTCACCACACTTACGCTTCTCCAAATTTAGAAAGAAGCTGTGTACACAGTGTTCTTGCGAGTTACAATAACGCGTCCGGTTTGGCGGCAACTTCAAAGAGTGGACATATGGTTGCTCCTTCAGGTAGCTATAATTACCCTCTCTATAATGCAATATCGTATTATCCATTTGTAATGAATGATAGTAACACTAAATCGGATTGGATTCAGTTAAATCTACATTTCTCAAGGTCTCTAACATCGAGATTTGAAATATCTTTCATGTAAATACCTTCTTTGTCATGTGACTTGTATATATTCGTGTATATTCAGAATCGTACCTACGCACAATGTCTTTGAACAATGGCACAAGCAACGTGGTCTCTTTCTGTAAAACATAGCACTCTTTATTTCAGCCACAGCAAAGATCCCGAACCACGTGCAGTCAGCAGAGTTACAGCGTCTGGTTACCGTCTTGCAGTTACGATACAGGTAAGACGTCAAAATATTTATTGTTTTATTTCTGGAAACGCCGACCCTAGAACGTGGAATTTTGGTAACACGGTTATTTCATATAACAACAACCAAATAACAACCTGTACTCCAAACAGTGAATGTGTGGCTCTGCTGCCATGCGAAACGCGATTTGTAAGAGTCTAATTTTAGTGTATTTATTTCTACCACTTTTGATAAAAAAATACGCAAACAATCTTATCTGAAAAGGAGATCTCTCCATCCCCTATGGTGTTATTGCGACTTGTATACTGTCTACATGTACATTAGGCAACTTAATGTAGCTGTATGGCGACACTTGATGTGACCATGAATTTGCCTGTGGTGATCAGTGAAAGTGAAAACACGGAAAATTACAAAATACCAATCCATGCAGTATTTTGATGATTTACATGCGAGTTTTCTATTATTTATAACGTTAGAAATATTTAGATAAAAATAACTTTATAGACCCTATGTTTATTAATATAACAAATTGTTGTATTAATGTTTTCCTAAAATAAACATATATATCATCTTTTCTTATTGCCCCATCAAAGCTGGTGCTGAGACAATATAGAATACCCAAACGACGCATATTGTACGTGCCGTGCCGCCAGACTTCCTGCCAACTTGGCAATTAAATATCCTCGGGTATTGTCACTTCATACGGTGATACATTGTCTCGCGCACGTGGTCGGTGGGTTTTGTCTATCAGCGCCACGATCACGTGATCGTTTTGTTAATTACTCTGTGTTACGGTCTCGCCGATCCTAAACTTTCAAAGCCTTCAATAAAATTTATGAGATCATTATCTTATCTTTATTCCGACTGAATCCACCTTTATTTCAGACGCCCCCTCACACACACACTCCCAATGCAAATTCACTGAGGCTTGACCGTTACCAATTAACAGCTGTCAATTAAACAGTTCGCATCTAAGTAGTATGTTATCGAATATATTGAAAACCTTTAGCGTGCTACTTTAGGGGGGGGGGGGGGGGGGGGGGTGGGGGGGTTAAAGGAGGGTGTTGGTTGTTCACAGGGTTACTCGACAATCACAATGTATACCGGTATTTCAATAATTGTATGATATATTTAGTCCTTGGGCAGCCCCAGTCTAAAAACAACAATAAAATCCTAACTCTCACCGACTCCCTTAGTGGACTAAAAGCCCTCCAAAACAAAAATACCAAAAAACGACCTAAATTAATAAACCAAATACTTAAAAGCTCCGACGACCTAACAAAAGCAGGCAAACAAATAACCTTCTTGTGGATCCCCGCCCACGTAGGAATTTACGGCAACGAAAGCGCCGATAAAGCAGCTAAATTATCTCTCAAAATACCAGTAATAAGCCTAAACCTACCCATCTCAAAATCAGAAATTAAAAGTGTAAACAAACAAAAAATAACCATAAAATGGCATAATCAATATCAAAACTCAAATAGCCAAATCAAAAAAGTGCTCAGAAAACCACTAGCCAAAACCTAAAATCCTACACCTCTCTAAAACAATTGACAGATTTATTACAAAACTCCAAACAGGACACACGAACCTAAATAACCACCTAAAAAAACTTAAAAGACACATCACAGGCAACTGCCCCCACTGCAAACAACCCGAAACCACAGAACACGCACTCATCCACTGCACCCACTACCAAACACACAGAACCACACTACAAACCACCCTCAATCTAAATAAGGTTCCTACTCTAGATGAAATACTAAACCCTCAAAATATACCAGAAAACTTCAAGGCCCTAGGCGTATTCCTAATCAAAACAGACCTAATTAAGCGCATCTAAAAACTAATTATTCTACCAATCCAAAATCCAATAAACATACAAACACCCACCTCACCCGGCTCCCTTAGTTCCCTCCTCCACCCACCTCGGCATTTATTCCAAATTTAAAAATTCCAAAACTTCAATATAAGCAACCCCTAAAACCCCCCTCTTGGGTTGCACACATCACTTTCACCCTTTTCGGAATACAATAAATGGTCCGGCCAGGCCCGTGTGCGAAATACGCTACAGTCGGAAAGCGCACGTTAAATCTCCTATATCAGTCAGTCAGACCCCAGTGTTTCATATCATTTTCCCACCAAACTAAAAAAGAATAACCCCCAACTGGATATGTTTCGTTTCGTCTGTCGATTCATATTTTGGAAATTCAAGGGGAACCACTCCGGCTTATGCAGCACACACATTTGGGAAGGTTGCTTCAATAATAATAATACTTCTTACCATGGTTTCACAGTCGTTCGGAACTTTTTTAAGATCTGACATCAGATTATGCTGTCCGAAAATTTATCTATTTTTTTTTTAGTGGAGACAGGCCTATCGGAAATTCGAACTTGAACAGCAACGCCAAAACCACATTCCGCCGCAGTGACCAGCTGCTGATGACATAGACTAGGCTAGCTTTACACTAAGTCTTGTACCAGGCTGGCCCCTCTGGGTAGTAGGTCTGGTCTCTCCTTTGTCCTTGGACCCCCTTTCCGATCATAAGGGTTGAGTACCCCTTGCCAATGAAACACGTGTTTACCATCCTTTTACCTTAGAGCACCCATTTACGACACATGGGGTTAGTTTTGAGTTCGGTTATGGTTTAGAAGTCTCTTGATATAAACATATTTATTTCCATAAAGTGGAGGGATTGGCAAACAAGCAAATTTTGCTTATCTGAATGCCTCTCCCAAACATGATACATAAGTCTCTTTTAACCAATTAATCCAATGTAATTTTCGCAGTATACTCATCCTTATATAATTTCAGCTTCATGACAGTGTGAACATTGAGTGCCCCCTACACAAGTATGCAGTCACTGACAACTTATGGAGTGACCTATACAAAACGGAAGATACAGACGACTAGCACAAGCACGCACACACACACACACTCACACGCACGCACGCACATGCTATATAAGTGCAATTATCTTGGACGCGACATTCAACCCAATTTCAACTCACCTCACTTATCTTACTTTGTTCATGTGCCTAAAGTTTGTGGAATGTGTTAATTACTGAAATGAAAAGCATTTTAATGTTTTTTTCATATCTTTTCAGAATATGTGCACATAGCTTTCAATGACCAGACGAAAAAAAGAATTCATTTCAAGTATGTTGAGAAGAAAACGTAAGTAAAGCACACTATTTACATTCATAATACATTTTATTCCGCAGGCTCTATTGTAAAGTTAAACTCTAGCTGCGTATAGGCTGCCATTGTCCATTATATTAGACAATATGGATCCACTAATCTATACATCTATTTTCTTTTGTGACAGGACCCATCTCTGAAAAAATCACCTCACCCAAGAAAATACGACTCATTCATGAGAATGAAAAGTGCAAAGTCTCCCAAGAAATTGTCTTGTAATATAGCATGTGAATAAATAATTTTTTGAAATATCTCACGAAATTAGTTTTATTTTATTGCTTGTAATCATGTGAACTAAAAATGTTTGTTTTGAGGAAAAAGGTCATTTGAAGCAACTCCAGGTTAAACTATCCAATGATTGAATCTTATTTCTCCTGAATTAAAATAATTCTGCTAAATATTACTGCAGAAAAAAATTCGGCCAGAAATTTCTGTAGAAAAAAAAAAATTCGGCCAGAAATTTCTGTAGAAAAAAAAAATACTGCCAGAAATTTCTGCAGAAAAAAAAAATTCGGCCAGAAATTTCTGCAGTAATGCATTTTCTGAGCCAATTTTTGAGCTTATGAACATGTGAACACACTGGGACACACATTATTTGGATTCGTCTCCTCGAGAGCTTTCCAGTGATATAAAACATGTTTTTGTAGCTCGCTTCCTTCTGTGTGGTCAAGTTCGGACTCCTGGCCATTCCTAAGTTGTCCCGCCCTGCCTTAACTATATTACCATTTGCCTTGAACACTCTCATTCAAATGATTTATATGGTGTTTTCTTTGTAAAATGATCTTAGTTTTGTTGATTGTTCACGTTTATTCCTCGCCATGAACCAGATCCTCCAATAATGCTGATTGTGGAGTTACTTAAGATCCAAACGAAATCTGATTTGTGTGAGGTGAGGATCTTAGTGATTACACGGTTCGCTGATGACGCTGAAGACCCGTGTTCGAGCCGCCAAAAGACCAACTTCCTGGTCTAGTGGTAGAACATCCGCCCGGAGAGCGGAACGGGGTTCGATCCCCGGCCGCGTCATACCAAAAGACGCTAAATATGATACTTGTTGTTACCCTGTCTGGCGATCGGCATTAATAGGCTAAAACAAGGACTGGTCGGCTTGGAGTCAGTATACTGTGTCTAAGTAGGGTATTCATGTTAAAACTGCGGCATGGTATCTCAGTGGGCTTGCACTATAAACCGGCATCAGTCCGGACTAGTACAAACAGCCACACACACGCACACACGTGCATACTCGTCGCCATATAAGTGCAATAATCTTGAACGCGACGTAAAACCCCATTTCACCTCACCCCACCCCACCCAGCCTCCAAACGTGTGTCCCGTCACCGTATAGGACTATTTCAATATTGCTAAAAACGGCGTAAAACCATACAAAACTGATATGTTAGACAGTAAATATAACCCATACATCGAGATTAACAAGGTTCCGTTGTTTACTTGAGGTATGTTTATATCTACACTGACAACAAGACGGCATGCCATTCCTCGGATACACTGGAATATAAGGCACATAGATAAAAGGTGCACTCCCACTGTCTACCGGTGTCACATGACCTGAGTAACGAGCCGTGTATTGGGAATCAATAAGGCCAACTTAGTATCTAATCAGCCTTATCTGTTTATTAAAACACTATCTTGCCGGTGCCTCTCTACAAGTATTAAATGTCACTGGTGAATTTGGCAGAAGGAAAACATTACATAGAAAAATTTAGTTGATAAAAGCGAAATTCAGAGAAAGAATACGAATTGTTCGATTACCGAACGTACCCATACGAATAGTTCACACAATGTTAAAATAATACGGAACGCATGTATTCCAGATGTGTATTTGATATATCGAGATACGTTCCATAATATATTTGAAGGTTGTATCCTTCTCAAGTTTGTTATTTTTTGTGAAAAAAGGTTTGTTCCAAAATACTGGATATATATTTTTGACAACGGTTTTAGAAAATTGATCGCTTAGATGTCCTGAGGAAAAATGTATTGTGAAAATGTATGGTCCATCATACGATTCCAATTATATCAAATAGTGATTTTCACGAAAAGGGCAGCTTATCCTGCCCCACCGGAGGCACCCGTTACAAACACATACCAAGGCAAGTCAATTGCTCACCTGAAAGAGTGAGTGAGTGAGTGAGTATGGTTTTACGCCGCTTTTAGCAATATTCCAGCAATATCACGGCGGGGGACACCAGAAATGGGCTTCACACATTGTACCCATTTCGGGAATCGAACCCGGGTCTTCGGCGTGACGAGCGAACGCTTTAACCACTAGGCTACCCGACCACCCCTGCTCACCTGAAAGAACACTGGAATATATGGTGCAGAAACCTTTTGTTCGGTCCCCCCTTTCAGATGAAAAATACGTAAACTTGAAGCAGTGACCATAAACATTCGTTTCTAACAAAAATCCCAGCCCCATGGTGAATGGACGTTACAAGTCTGTTGGAAGCGCTACAGAAGAAAACTCGTCACGATATGGCTGAAATATTGCCGATGTGACGTAAAGCATTAACTCATTCACTCACAGAAGATAACATAATTATATTTCCTGATGGCTAAGTAAGGCCGTTTAGAGGTGTACCAGCGTAATTTGTCCACATGATGTAATTGGCTGTGTGACGTAATTGCACACCGTACCTCAATACCCATACCTGGGAAAGGTTATGCATCTCTCCCTTTTTATAGTCCTTAACATTTTTGTGTGTACTGTATGTCTAACGATATCCCTAATACCTGAACCGGGAGCGGGAGGTCCGGGGTTCGATTCCCGGCCGCGTCATTCCTGTCTGGCGCTCGGCATTAGGGGCTTAAACAAGGACTGGTCGGCTCGGAGTCAGTATACTGTGTCTGAGTAGGGTATTCATGTTAAACTGCGGCATGGTATCTCAGTGGGCTAGCATTATAAAACCGGCATCAGTTCGGACTAGTACAAGCAGCCACACGCACGCACACGCACGCACGCACACGCACGCACACACGCACGCACGCACACACACAGGCACACACACAGGCACACACACGTGTTATTATAAGTGCAATAATCTTGGACGCGACGTTAAACCCCATTTACCCTCACCTCAACTATTACCTGAAACATTTGGTATGAGAACACTAAATGTTCCCCTGGATGGTTGCAAGAAATGGTTTATATCACATGATGAAATTGAAAGAGTAGTCAAGTAACAAGTGTCATGGAAGAGTCACAAAACGTATCATTAGTCAATCCTTTTCAGTTCAGTATCTGACTCGTGAAGATCCGGGGTAGAATAGGTCTTCAGCTACCCGTGCTTGCCGTAAGAGGCGACTAACGGGATCGGGTGGTCAGGCTGGTTGACTTGGTCGATGCATGTCATCATGTCCCAATTACGTCGATCGATTCTCATGATGTCAATCTGGGGATTGTCTGGTCCAGACTCGATTATTTACAGACCGCCGTCATATAGCTGGAATATTCCTGAGTGCGGCGTCAAACAACAAACAACAACAGCAACAGTTCTGTATTTCAATATGTCAGTTTGTAAACAAACGAAAATCGTGTTTCGGCAGGAGATAAATACATGATATGATGTTTAACATGGTTATGTGAGAGGAGACATTTGGTTGGAGGTGCTTAACTATTTTTCAGGTGTATAGTCTACCTCCAGTTACAAATAAACTGATTGACACATAAGAAGCAACAGCCTAACACTTAGCAAAGACCTCAACCCTGTGTACCGAAACACACCTCATGAATTTTTAAATGTCATAACCTTAATGCATATGATTTGAGAAAATGCTTTATAGATTAGAATGTAAGTTTATATTTTACCTCAGGTTTACATACAGAGACCTTGGAAAGAAAAATGTGCTTGCGGATTTATTGATAAGGAGATATTGGCGACTGAAAAATGTACTTTCCTGACACCATATTATGTTTATTCACACTTACGACCGCCTCCGTGGTCTAGTGGTAGAGCGTCCGCCCGAAGAGCGAAAGGTCCGGGGTTCGAAACCAAAAGATGTTAAAAGATGGTACTTCTTGTAACCCTGGCTGGCGCTCGGCATTAAGGGGCTAAAACAAGGACTGGTCGGCTCGGAGTCAGTATACTGTGTCTGAGTGGAGTATTCATGTTAAACTGCGGCATGATATCTCAGTGAGCTAGCACAATAAATCGGCATCAGTCCGGACTAGAACAAGCAGTCACACACACAGATACACGTACATGCACGTCGCTATGTAAGTGCAATAATCTTGAACGCGACGTTAAACCCCATTTCACCTCATCTTATTCACACTTACAAGTGAGCTACGTTGTAGGCGGAATGTAACATATTTTCTTCATGGTGGTCTTGTCAAGGCACGTAATGAACCAGAATGTTTCTAGGTTTTCTCAGCACCATACCCGTACTTATGACTTGTATTACATGTTCCGGGGCGGTCGGGAAACCTATTGGTTAAAGCGTTCGCTCGTCACGCCGAAGACCCGGGTTCGATTCCCGACATGGGTACAATGTGTGAAGCCCATTTCTGGTGTCCACCGCCGTGATATTGCTGGAATATTGCTAAAAGCAGCGTAAAACCACCCTCACTCACTCAAGCACGGGCATAGCTCAACGTACCTTTGTTTACCGTTACAACACTCACACAATCAATTCATCAATTGGGATATTGTTAAAAACGGCGTTGAACCATACTCACTCACTCACTCTTCATAGTCAGTTAGATATTGCACATGTTCAACCATCCCGTACAAAAACACAATTGGATCACAATCAAATATTGTTTACGTTTGTTAATTGTATAAGTATACATTTACTGTTTTTATGGGAATTGTGTGAGTGGTGGGTGCCACGTTTTGAACGTTTTATATTAATAAGAGCACAACTTGATCGTAGTCAAATATTGCTCACGATTTTCAATCCCTTACGTAAGTGGAACCAAAGACTTTTAAAAAAACGTATACCTAAAGTCGTACCTAGACTTGTACATTGTATGAGAATATTGAACTCATGAAGATTCCCCTACAATACAGGGACCGCCTCCGCAGTCCAGCGATAGAGCGTCCGCCCGAAAAACGGAAGGTCGGGTGCCCGATCGCGTCATACCATGAAACGTTCAAGAACGTGCTTGTTGTTACCCTGTCTGGCGCTCGACATTAAGGGACTGAACCAGGGACTGAACCAGGGACTGAACCAAGGACTGGTCGGCTCAGAGTCAGTATACTGTGTCTGAGTTGGGTATTCATGTTAAACTGCGACATGATATCTCAATGGGCTAGCCCAATAAAATTGGCATTGGTCCGGACTAGTACAAGAGCGCGCGCACACACACACACACACACAGACACAGACACAGACAGACAGACACACACACACACACACATACGTGCAATAATCTTGAACCCGACGATTAAACCCCATTTCACCTCACCTACAAAACAGCATATAAAACAATCGTATGCTTTTAATGCAGTCCCTCCCAATCAACTCACCCCCCATAAATCACCTTCCAGCTTTAATTTGAAGCGATCTATTATTTATGACCATACTACCTTTGTTACCGTGGAAGGTTTTACAATGTTGAGATCAGCCGTTGCATTATCTGGACAGTATTCCGCTCAACAAACGACCTAGATTTTGATGAAAATAAAACTTAACGCTGAGAGGACACTAGAGGAGTTGAGTCAATATAATGTCAAAGAGAGAGATATATATATATATATATATATTTCCCCATGTGCTCCTGTATAACGTGTGTCAATATACTTACGATAGGTAATTCGTGTATTCATTTATTGTCTGTGTGGTAGTTGATTTCACAGTACTGCCATGTGTACTAACACATCATAAACTGCACTGGGTGACTTATTATTAAAATTGTTTTTGATTAATTAATTAAATTAATTAAACATAATACCTTCAGGCGTGGTTGGGTACCCTAGTGGTTTCAGCGTTATTATTATTATTATTATTATTATGTACAGATTAAATAAATAAATGCAGCAAAGAGGGTTTTTGCCATCAGCTCCGGGCCCTTGCCTCCTCTACAAGCAGCCCAGACAGCCAGTGGGACTTCTCCCAGGAAGGCTGCCTAGTCAAACCCACCTAGTACTTTGTAAAGACTCCCCAACACAGCAACCTGCATTACCAAGATTTTCAGAAGGGATGTATTTCTGGCAGCAAACCCGGGTACTCTCTCCAAATGTCAGTCAACAGATTGGGAGGTACCAAACCTAAGGTACCGAGAACACCAACTTGGTACTTGGGATGCTAGCGGACATTTCGAAAGCTTTTTTCTGAATATTGTCAATCGCATTAGTGTCAAAAGGGACAGAGAATTCAATGATATATATTTGATTTCATTTGATTTATCAAAAAGGACAAGATGAGGTTTGTTGGTCTTGAAAGGTCTAAGGGCCTAGTCCAAAGAATTTTGTGTTTATCATTTCTATGACGCCCTCTACATATTCTGGGTATACCATGGATGGACCTCTGTGTCAAAACCACAAGCATGGCGAAGACGGTAATAACAGGATCGAGCCAAACCATCATGTCATGACAGTAGTAGTAGTAGTAGTAGTAGTAGTAGTAGTAGTGAGACGGGATGTTTGGCTCAAGTGACAATGCGAAGATCAAAATATTGTTGTTTTCCTTTCAACTACATTGAAAATATCTATAATGATATTATTCGTCTGTGCATGTGTATGTTTCATCGATAAAGATAATATTATTTACTACTCAAAAGAAGTTAAAGAACACATGTTTTTTTTCATAAGACTATATTTTATATTAGTCATATAAATAACCCGGGTTTTCTTGAACTTCTTTTGAGTGATATAAGTAGTTTATGTTTTAACCAACGTAAGCCTCTATATACAGCAAACTTTTTGCGTTGCATTACATGTGAGGGATAAGTAATGGTAAAGTTGACTTACCCCCATAGTGTCCCTTGCTCGTCTGCCCCGGGGGTCAAATAAATATTCAGATAACTCTCTCGTCCCTCATTCAGTGTCCTAAGCTTGATACAAAGCTTTACAGATCAGAAATCCTCCATAAATTGCGATCACGATACTGGTAGAATGTCCCCCACATGATTACACCGTAGACGACAGCGAGCAGACGTCACAGCACGTGCTGAGCAGACGACAATATCTACTGGATCAGTCTTATTGATCACAGCTTGATCCTAATATTGCGTGTTGGTCCGTTTGACCCGGGTACAGTCGATACCCAGGTGATCTTGTTTGATCGGCGGTCAGTTTGTGATTATGGCTGACAATAGTCACAAGAAAGGTGGAAGACGACTTTTGAAACTCCAAGAATCTCAATTTATACGGTGGTGTCACTATGCCCGTGGATCAATGAAGTGAAGAATGTCCTTTCAAGTGCAAATATGTAAATGTAGTGTCGACGTCTTTGTTGCAACTGCATGTTTTTCATGATTAATATGAATTGTGAACTGTTGCTTCCTATCTGTTGGTTTGTGGAAGAGTGTTGTCACGTCATGGCTTGTGTCTTCTGTAGTAGCACGGCTATTTCAAAGCACATTGTGGAACGAACATCTTAAAATCTATAGCCCGACCTGCCTAATGGTTGTGCAGGTTCTCCATAACACACATCCGCAATAGAAGATATCTTGTAATCTTTGAAAACGAATTAATTTAGCTGTGGGCACGCGATTCTGATATACAGTCATCACGATCGATCAAATCCTCAAAGAGCTCCAGTTTCAGGAAGTCAAACAAAGATTAAGATTGATAAACTCGTACTGGTTTCTGAATTGACGCGTCACATTAAAAGATTATATAGTTGAAACCCATGTAAGTCCTTTCTTGTAAATATTAAACTGTATACGGAAACAAATAACCCCACTTCCTCAGGTCCAAGTGATGCTTTAGTTGAAAGTTGAATCTCCAAACTGATAAATCAGACTTCAACGAAATGTCACACCCATAACACTAGTTCAGCTGTAGTCCAATACTTACAGATCCACATAACCCAGGCAGAACAGAAAACTGTGGTAATTCACCACGCATATGAAGTGTTCTGATCTGAGGCGACCAGTCCTATTACTACATGTAGTCTTACACCTCCAATTTTACGCTGCTGTAATTAAAACGACCATTTCCATAATAAAATGAAATCTCTTAAAGGCAGAGTCCATTGTACGATTCCGACTATATCATAAGCATGTGTTTATGGATCGCTATCAAATAGCGATTAAACCAAGGGTTTGCGAAAAGGTGAGCGTATCCTGCCCCACTGGTGGCAATCTGTAAACCACTCCACTGAGCAACAAAAACAGTCAATTGTGAACGCGCGTTTGTGTATTTGAGGAAGGTTTTGTGCCACCGATGTGTCTATTATCCTACACGCCTCCCTCGGCGCTCCTTAAACCGAGCAGACGACATCAATGGCTCTCAAGCAATAAAGTATGCGAGGGAATTGTTTCCGAACAGGTACTAGACTTTTTAAGTTTTGTTTGAGTATGGCTGCATTGCTACTTGATCAAGTTAACTCGTGCTTAACCGATCGCGTTTGACACCGAGGTCTCTCAGTTTATTTAATAAATGTGGGATTGTGTGACATAATCAATAGTTTACATACGTGGGCTGAAACCGTCCCTGCAAGTACTATTGCAAACATCTGCGCATACCCCTGTCTCTATACTGCAGTGGTTATGACATACCAGCAGATCGACTTGACCTTCAACTTTACACGCGACATGGTGTCCTTCATAAGATGACAATGATTTCATAATGTGAGGTTTGTCGCCCCCAGTTTGTTTGGTCTCTGCTGTTTTTTAACGGTTGTACGTTGTTTTTTTGTTTAACGCCGCAGTCAGCAATATTCTAGCTATAACCCGACAGTGTAGATAATCGAGTCTGGGCCAGGCAAACCGGTGCTTGTTCAGCGTCCCCTACCGTCGGGGCACGATGCCACTTGAGCAGCCAAGGCAGAGCCTGGCCACCATGTCAGTCAGCTCTAAGGTCAGAAGGGGCGGTCCGGTAGCCTAGTGGTTAAAGCGTTCGCTCGTCACGCCGAAGACCCGGGTTCGATTCCCGACATGGGTACAATATGTGAAGCCCATTTCTGGTGTCCCCCGCCGTGATATTGCTGGAATATTGTTAAAAGCGGCGTAAAACCATACTCACTCACTCTAAGGTCAGACGTATTTAGCCCAAACATTTAGGTCGGTTTGTGGAAACATTCTTTTTTTAAAAATTCAATTTTCAAACATTTGTTCCTCAAAATATTCAGTAGATAAGGGAAAACAATTTTAAGAAATTAAGTGAGGGGCGGGAGTTTTTTTCAGATAAGTTTTTAACAGTTTTTAATATCTACAATAAATGAGCTTTTTCAAAACATTTCACATATTTTTGGTCTGAGTAATCCACAGCTTTTTATTCTTAGATATTTCTTCATATTTCAGTTTGCAGCGGATTCGTAAACCACGTTTTAATAAAACATGCGTTATTGGAGACCTTAGGATCCGGAATCTCCAGAGGGCTTCGTCATTTGACGGTGATACGATCTCGGAACTGATGTTAAGTGAATTGACACTCATGTCATGTTCATAAATGTTTAACAACAAACAAACAAACAAACATGAACAATATGCTGCTGACGTACGGGACTGTTACGTTTTTTAGTAAAAAGACGACTTATTCTCTGATTGACGACTATCAATGATGACAAATTTATTAAATTAAGATTTGAAGGTTCTCATGCTTGAAACTTCAGCAGAGTTTGTTTTGGCTAGACACATTTTGCCAATCGTATTAGGTAAGAGTGGTTAAGTATTGTCATCTCATTTAATTGGTTACAAATCAGTATCCAGAGAATAATTGATTAAGGGCATGTCGTTTCTGAAAACAATTAATCAAATTAAGGAATTGCAAACATAGAATTTACACCATAGACATGGGGTCGATGGGGTAGCCAAGTGGTTATAGCGTTACATACAACCACTTAATCTCGGACCCATAGTCAATGAACGCCTCTGTGGTCAGGTGGAGAGGGCGTCCGCCCGGAGAGCAGAGGTTTGGTGGTTCGATTCCCGGCCGGGTCACACCAAAATACGTTAAAAGATGGTACGTGTCACCCTGCCGTTAGGCATTACTTGGATAGGGGCGGTCGGGTAGCTCAGTGGTTAAAGCGTTCGCTCGTCACGCCGAAGACCCGGGTTCGATTCCCGACATGGGTACAATGTGTGAAGCCCATTTCTGGTGTCCCTCAAGGACTGTTTGGCTCGGAGTCAGTATACTGTGTCTGCGTGGGGTATTCATGTTGAAACTGCAGCATGGTATCTCAGTGGGCTACTACTATTAAACCAACAAGGACAAGAACGCGACGTTAAACCCAATTTCACCTTACCTCACCCTTAGTGAAGATCGTCATTTACTTTTCCGGTATATGAAAGTCGCGGTGCGTAATGTTATGCAACATCAGCAGTCTTTCAATTGATAATAGGAAGCATTATTATCAATATCCTCCCGAAATCAATTTTCTATACACCATATATACAGCAGCGAACCATGTACAGCTTAAGGAGTTCCTTTATAAATCCCCGACTAACTAACTAGCAGAACGTCTGGTGGGGGCTATTTGAGAAGAAGCTAGGCGATATGTCACGCCTGTCCCGTGTGTCAGGACTGAAGATGTGTCTAAACACTGCCCCCTAACCAGTAGGTCAATATTTGGAGTGGACGGTAAGATAGAGACGAAATAACACGCTCCTCCACGTCGTTTAACTCAAGGATATATTCTGTATCTATGAACAACTGTGTGTTAAGCTGTTCAGTAAACATTGGAGGCGGTAGTAGCCCAGTGGGTAAAGTGTCACGTCAAAGACACGGGTTCAGTTCCCCATATATAGGTCAGACTCTAAACACCGTGACGTCATAGTTGGAAGGACCGCCTCCGTGGTCTTGTGGTAGAGCGTCCGCCCGGAGAGCGGAAGGTCCGGGGTTCGATCCCCGGCCGCGTCATACCAAAAGACGTTAAAAGATGGTACTTGTTGTTACCCTGTCTGGCGCTCGGCATTAAGGGGCTAAAACAAGGACTGGTCTGCTCGGAGTCAGTATACTGTGTCTGAGTGGGGTATTCATGTTCAACTGCGGCATGGTATCTCAGTGAGCTAGCACTATAAATCGGCATCAGTCCGGACTAGTACAAGCAGCCACCCAAACACACACACGTACATGCACGTCGCTATATAAGTGCAATAATCTTGGACGCGACGTTAAACCCAATTTCACCTCACCTCACCTCACAGTTGGAAGTATAATGAGGTCATTAATTGCACATACATGTATACTACTCGAAAACAGTTAAGGACCACCCGATTCTATCATATTAATAAATGAAATAATCAGGTGGGTCTTAACTTGTTTTGAATAGTATATTACATTATAGCACCGTCCATCCACCCCTACGATTAGGTAACTTAGTGTCTTTGGTTTGCATCTTCATATCCGACACTTGATAAATAGCTTCGGTTAATAATTTTATCTTTTCTCTCTCGTTATTACTGAATTCTGATGCATTGACTACCTAGCACGTACACAGAATTGTCTCACCAAGCTCATTACACAGGGTGTAAAGCACAGGCAACTTGTTCTTAAAGAAACGCCTAACATTAATCCCATTTGCTGGAGTTGTCCCCGATTATGTTTCTAGGTTTGTCAACACCATACCCGTGCTTGTGGGTTTCAGCAAAGTGGTAAACATCTGAGACTTGCATCACTCCGGGTTTCCTCCCACTGGAATGGCGGTAAATCCAACTCACTCACTCACTCCATTATTTTTAATTGTCCCCTGTTCCCACAGCTAATGTTGTGTCGTAGAATAAATCACACGTCCCATTGAAGCCAAATGGCGTGGATTGTTTTCATGCTTTCAACCACCGGTATGACCCATCCATTATATATAGGCCGCAGTGAAGTAGTCAACATGCAAGGGCAAGTCATTTGTTATCACCTAAAAACCACGAGAACATATGGTACAAGTCAATACAGGAAATTGCATCGGACATAAATTAGGTCTCTGATGGGTCAAATTTGGAATTGTCTTCCACAAGTCTACAATATAAACCTTTTGAAAGCGGGAACATATAAAAGTGAGTGAGTATGTTTTACGCCGCTTTTAGCAATATTCCAGCAATATCATGACGGGGAACACACCAGAAATGGGCTTCACACATTGTGCCCATGTCAGGAATCGAACCCGGGTCTTCGGCGTGACGAGCGAACGCTTTAACCACTAGGCTACCCGACCGCCCCGGAACATATAATACAAGTCATAAGTATAAGCATGGTAAAGGCCATGAATGGCTTCCGTTCCTACACACACGATCCTACTGCCAGTTTACTCACTGTTTTTGAGGTATCTATGACGTGATATCAATTTACCTTTGTACACAGCACTGTAAGTACTCCGTTTACCTGAACACTTACCTTCCATAGCCGAGTGTGAGCGCCTGAAAACATGGGTGTGACAGAGCCACCCACTAGATTCCTTTCAAAGCAAACAGACATGTGTGTGATATCGTCAATGTGAAGTAAAAAGGAACGAGGCCGATTCAATACTTAGAAGGTATTTAATCCTTTTGCATTTCAATCTATGGCCAGCGATAGTTTATTTATTGGGTTGGTAGAACGATATTATCAGTATGAAGACGATCACAAACACAGTCTGTTGATTAAACTGATACCACTAGAGTTTGTCTAGTGGGTGTAACGTGGGTTTATGAACCTGTATAGAAATGACAGATAGGCCCTGTTAATTTGCAGGTACGAAATCCAATTGAGTGTAATGCCATATTCCTTTTCTACGATTTGACAAATACTTAAGCTATATTAATGTTATCTGCAGTGGTAGTAAATTGTGAAAGAATTTAAAGTAGGATCTGAATTTTAACAAATGATCTGCACCGCAGACACTCTAACTCAAATCTACACTCAGTGCAACCAGCAAAGAGTGATTACACCCCGAAACAAAGAAACTGTGATGTCAAAAAATTCTTATATATACATGTGTCTATGTTGCGTAGAAACGGGAAG